GGGGGGGGGGAGGGTAAGCAGCCTAGATGACAGATGAGCCCACTCCTTGCCCGGGAGGTGCCCCCACCCCCATTTGGTTAGAGGATACTGGGGCATTCACCCGGCACAATGGGCGCTTTCTTCTTCTCCCTAAGGAATCCAGGGACAGGCGGGGGACTGGCGCTCGATGAGACACCCATTTCCCGTCCTGGGGATTTCCCCCACACAGCTGAGCCCCACAGGCCCCTTGACACGCTCATTTTGTCACCAGTGACAGGGTTCCCTCAAGCTTGCACCTAGGCTGGTCGCTGGGGGGTCACATGGTGTTTAGGCTGCTCCCTAGTCAGCGACTGTAAACATGGTCACATGCTAAGAGGTTTTCTTCCAGTTACTTGGCTCAAACCCCAAAACACTGCCGAGTCATGCTGGGCGGGTCCCATCCTGCCCCGGTCCTGGGCATCTCCCACATTTTTCATTAAAGATAAATCCCAGTTCAGACATGGGGCTACCTCCTTCCCTGGGGTGAGGAGGGGCGGTCTCTGTGACAGCTATATAAGGAAAGAACCCGACTCGGCAAGCAGCCCTGGGCCCTGCGGAAGGCTGTTATCAGTCAGTGAACTGAGGCTGTGCCCCGCGTGGCACCTTCAGGAGAACGCCAGCTCTGAGCTCTGGTGTTCCCACTCCCCAGCCCCACACGCACCACCAGTTGGCGAGTGGAGAAACCTTGGGTTAAGGACGTGCTCAGCTCTTGGCCTGCTGCTCTGTTCCAGCGTTTGCTGGAATATGCTGGAATTGGTCGCTTTCCAGTTTGGGGTTGGTTGGCCCTGTGTTTGGGAACTGTGTGCCCTCCCAACACATGAAAGTCTGGCCAGTGCACTCCCTCCCAGAACTGGTTAGACTCGCCCCAACTTTGCACACCCTTCCATAAACGTCTCAGCTGAGCAGCTAATCCTTTGGGGTTAGACAGGTGGCTGGGTCATTCCATACAGCTGCCTGGAGGGAATTTCACAGGGGCAAGAAAGCTGGTTTCAGCTGCCTTGGATGCAGTTATCCTTTAGGAGGAAGAAAGCAGGCGGAGTGCACTTTGTAAGAGCTTTGTGTTTTAAAAAGCTCAAGGCTGTGAGACAGGATGTCATGCGTGCTTTGCCCTGTGGCGCCAGCTCTGGGGAGGGGGGATGTGACCCCGCCCCTGGATTCTGGGGATCCCTTCAGGCTGTGGGAATTCTAATGTTCTGGGTTTAACTTTGATTACAGCCAGCACCCCGGGGGGCAGTGAGTGGTTCGCTCTTTTTTTGAAAGAAATGTAGAACTTGATTGATTTTTTTTTTCCTCGATTCTAGGCACACATACGGTAATTGTGCCTAAATCAAGAACTGGATCCCCAGGATTCCCCTGAAGCTTTTCAGGCTGGCTCTTGCTTGCAGTGTGAGGTAGATTTCCTATCGGCTTGTCCTGGCCCTGCCTTGTTTGCGGCTGCCCAGAAAGGCCAGAATTCCACAAACAAGGCCAGAAGTGCTTCACATGCTTCAGGTCTCCCCAGAAGTTTTGGCTCTGAGACCCAGGCCCTGGTGCAGTTGGGTGAGGCTTGTGGGGGTCCAGACCGCGATTGCTGTTTACTTAGAATTCTGGCTCCAGGGCTCTGTTTGAATCTAATAATTTGACTGGCTCCTGTGGTAGAAGTTTACACTTCTCATGTGGCTCTGCACCTGCACTTGCCCAGCCCACTTCCACCTCTCGGCATGGAGCCTTCCAGCTGGGGTGGAGAGAACCCATAAGACGCTGAAACCAGCAGGGTGAGTTACTTCCTGCCCTGGAGTGCCTGCTTGGAAGCTCATCGAGGCCGCGGGTGTCGCACCCCAGTCCTGATTGGCTGCATCTGAAAGCGATGTATCCTGCAGGTGGGTCTGACGGCCTGCCTCATGACTGCGCGTGAGTAATTCCAGCCGCGGAACGAGGGATCTGAGGCGCCCATGCTGAAGGCCCGTGAGTACCACAGCCTCTACCGGTGTTCGACGGGCTGCTGTAATGCGCAGGCTGACAGCACGCTGCCACGGTTCTATACTAATCGACTCCTGGGAGGCCCTGCAGCCCATGACCTACCCCATGGACAACTGCCTTACCTCACCGCTGCCGCGTCAGCTTCATCGCCTGGCTACCGGCAAGGAGACAGATGCAGTGCTACCACCCGACACTGACTCCAGGCTGGTGATCGCTGTCTCGCCTCCCACCTCTGCCCCAAGACGTGACTCTGAACGGACTGTACTATCAGGTGAGTATCCCCGGCTTCTAGGCCCCTCCCACAGCCTTTCAGCCAGCCCCGCATAAAGCCGCGATCACTACTGTGCCCCATTTCGCTGACATATAGCCGTTGGCATCCCAGGGCTAGGGTCTTTCACCTGTTAGGAACAGTTTCTGTGGGCTTCTGTTTCGATCATGATCCTGACTGATGGAGCTAGATCCTTGGACATTTGAGTGGAGTTAGGGGCCTTTAGAGAGCTGAGACTCAGGAAGTCTCTAATGTTGCTTTGCCCAAGCCTCCACCCTGAGGATCCGGCCAGAGAATCTCGGTGGTTCTCATGTGGCATTCATTAAGAAAGAATCTGTCCTACATAAGGGCATTTTGCATCTTAAGACCAGAGGAGGGGCACGGGTGGCTCCATGCCCGAATTTCTTGGTTTTGGCTCAGGTCCCAATCAAGTTTCACATCGGGCTCTGGCGCCTGACAGCGTGGAGCCTGCTTGGGATTCTGTCTCCCTCTCTCTCTGCTCATCCTGATTGCACTCTCAAAAAAATAAATAAACATTAAAAAAAAAAAAAAAAAAGACTAGGGAGGGCTTGGAGACTTTGGGTCTTTGGGGAAGTGTTGCTTTGTCAGAGGGACCCTTTGCTCACCCAGCAGTGTGTCTTCACCAGCCGCCAGGCAAGAGCCGGGGGTGGGGGGGTCAGCTCCACCCCCCCTTATTTATTATTTTTAATGTTTACTTGTTTTTGAGAGAGAGTGTGTGAGCAGGGGGAGGGGCAGAGAGCTTAGGTCACACATGAATTGGCAGGCTCCAGGCTCCTGAGCTGTCAGCACAGAGCCCAACGTGGGGTTTAAACTCACAGACCAAGTGAGATCAACTGAAATTGGATGCTTAACCAACTAAGCCACCCGGGGGGCCCCACCCTCTCTGTTTAAAAAAAATTTTTTTTTTTTAACGTTTATTTATTTTTGGGACAGAGAGAGACAGAGCATGAACGGGGGAGGGTCAGAGAGAGGGAGACACAGAATCCGAAACAGGCTCCAGGCTCTGAGCTGTCAGCCCAGAGCCCGACGCGGGGCTCGAACTCACGGACCGTGAGATCGTGACCTGAGCCGAAGTCGGTCGCCCAACCGACTGAGCCACCCAGGCGCCCCGCACCCTCTCTGTTTAAAGCAATACTTGGGCATTCAGCACATGTCTCTGCAGGTCCCATCTATGCCTTTCCCGCCTGAGCTGGCACAGGAAGGGCCCACGGCCCTGGGATCTAAGGATCCCACAGCCACTCGGGACCAGGGACCACTCCTAGCAGGGAGCCAGCCCTAAAGCTGTCTGGGGGGAATGATGAGGACAATAGTTAGCATGCGTCAGGGCCCCCGAGCTGGGTGTGGTCTGCCTCCTGGGCAGGAGTCCATCTCTATGACTGTCTGACTCTCGAGATGGGCACCACTGTCATCCCTAATTCATAGACGGCAGCAGAGGCTTAGAGGGGTAAGGAATTTATGGGACGGCACGGGGTTTGAGTCCAGGATATCCAGCCCAGGGCCCAGTGCGGTGTTGCTATATCGTGGTCTCCCTGGGCCAGGCTGTGGCCTTGGGAGCATGGGGCAGACATGGAGTGGCCAGGGGGTCACCGTGCATCTGTGTGTCTTGACTTGCCACAGCCAAATATCCCCTCCTGATGGGCCAGCAGGCGTTCAGGGAAGTAGGAGCTCCTGTCTGCTGTGCACAGCCTGTGTGTGTGTGTGTACATTCATGTGCACTTGTAGGTGTGTGTCCCACTTCCTCCCTTCCTGGCCTAGAGCCTGTCTGAAGCTGTGGGATCAGGAGGGAAGAGTAAGAGCTGTACTGTGGTTTCCTCTGTCTCCTCTTAGGAGCCTCAGAGGACATATGCACTTGGCTTCTCAGCCCTTCTCTTGCGTCCTCAACTGCCCTGGCCTTTGTCTGCTCCCTCCACTCTGCTCCCCCAGACTAGAGGCTCCTTCCCAGGCTTTCTTGGTGAGCACATGCAGGGCAGAGTAGCACATCACTGTATGCCAGGAAACCTCCGGAGTGCTCAGAGAAAGCCCTGGAATCTCGGCCAGCTCCTGGTCCTGTTATAAAACATCATCTGACCCTTCGCCCAGCTCCCCCTCCCCCAAGTCAAGGTAGATGTCTTCAGAGAGGGGGTGGAGACAGCTATAAATACTTCTCTCAAGAGTGCCAGAACCTTGGCTTCAGCCCCTCAGAGTCCGTTCCAAGTTGAGCGCCTTTGAGAATGTCCTCCCCGCCCTGTGGTCCTAGAATAAGACGGCGAAAAGGCCAGCCTGTCCACAGAAGGCCCCCTGTGCTTTCCTCATCCGTGTCGGGGTCTCTTGTCAGGTGCTAAGCCCCCGCAGCTGGAAGCATCAGGGTGCCCCCCACGCCCCATGTTAGCCTTTGTGTGGGTTCAGCTAAGCCATGGGAGGCTGGGGGTGGCGGGTGGGCTCAGCTCTGCCCTATCCCAGCCCCCAACCACGTGGAGATAGTGAAGGGTGGGGAAAGGCGTCCCGATTGACCTCCAGGGGGGTGGCGTGGGCAAGACCTGGGGTCTGGTTCAGATGCACTTTCACGTTTGCCCCAGAGTCACTCATTTCATGCCTAGTAAGCCTCGTGTCTAGTAAGCCCCATCGCGCCCTGCTCGAATGCCACCTGTCAGGGCAGCTCCTGTCCACAAGCTGCTGTTTTCAGGGGCACCCGGCACTGGGTGGAGGCCTCAGCCTCTCAACCGCTGCGGCCCTGACAGTTTATACGTCTGTGCTGGGGGAGGGCAGCCCAACGGCCTCTGGCACTGTCATCCTCACATGGGCCATGAACTAAGATGGGTTTTTACACCTTGAAATTTTTGGAGGGGGGAAAAAAAAAACACCAAAGCAGGAGCCACATTTTGTGGTATGAAAAGTTACACGAGATTCAAATTCTGTCCACAAATAAGGTCTTTTCGGAATGCAGCCAGCCCGTTTCCAAACATCGGTGGCTGCTTTTGCGCTACAACAGTCACGTTGGGGAGTAGGTACAGAGCAGGCTCTGGGGGCCTAAGATGTTCACTGACTGGCCCTTCTGCTGACCCCGGAGTCCTTACTCTCACTGCCATCTGGGGCTAGTGTCTGTGCTTTTCAAGGCTGTGCCTTTGAGCCTTTCCTTGCAGGGATCCAGAGCGTGTCAAACAAGGTGGAAAGACCCTGACCCCAAAGGGAGGGGCAGTGCTGGTGCCTTCTTTCCTATGACTGTGCCTATCCTGCTGGGCACCCAGGACACAGCAGTGAGCGGGAAGAGACTGGGGGGCTGACAGCGGTGGGGAGGGCCCAGGAATAGTCAGGGTGTGTCAGGGAGTGCAGGGGGGCAGGACGGCTGGCCTGGACTGGTCAGCCGTGGAAGGCTGTTGTGAGGAGAAGACACACAAGTGCAGGTCGGAAGACGGAGAGGAGACTGGTGGGCAGGGATGTGGGAAGTTCAGATCTGGAGCCAGCCAGGGGGGCCGCGCTGGTGTAGAGCAGTGTGTGGGGGGGTGGGGGTGGGGTAGGGTGGTTAAACCTGAAGGTGTTTGATCTTCAGGTTTGAGAAGCAAAGTCTGGTTCTGGCCTCAGAGCCCAGGCCGGATAGGTGTGCGGGCCTGTGGCCCCTACAAACCAGGGATGAGGGCTCACTGGCCTGTGGACTCCAAATGACATCAGAGACATTCCCAGAGGAGAGGGGCCTGTGTGGCCCTTCTCTCCAGCTCTTTACACACAAGGATGCTTCCTCCTGCCTCTGATACGTTTCCCCCCCTCCCATTCACAGGGATGATTCTGCGGAGGTGGACGTATATAATCCCACAAAGAACGAGTGGGACAAGATCCCATCTATGAATCAGGTAAACATGCGGCTGTGTCGGCATTGGTAGCACAGGCTGGTCCTGTTTTCTGGCCAGAGTGTACTCATGACGTGTTTGGGAGATGGTCCTGGTGGGCAGGGCCCGTGCTGAGCCCTTTCCTAGTGTTATTGCACGTAATAGAGGGCTGGGTTTTCCCTCGGTTTGTACTTCAGGGGCACTGAGACCTTAAATAAATCCCAGGGTTAGACAGTTTAGTGAGTTCATCCATTCGGACCAGCATTCGATGAGTACCTGCTATAAGCCAGAGAGCATAGGGAGAAGAATATTCCCCAGAGGGACAGCAAATGCAAAGGCCCTGGGGCAGAGTGTGCCTGGTATGGTCGCAGAACAAACCTCACAGTCCAGGGTGGCTGGAGCAGAGTGAACAAGGGGACAGCGGAGGCAATGAAGTCAGACAGAAGGTCTTTGGGGATTGACCCTGGGGAATACAGTTATTTATTGAGTGCCTACTGTGTGCTCTGAATAAGACACTGCTACCACTATCTGATCAGGGTGTCTCCCCTCTGCTTGTCGAGAAGAGAGGTGCTGAGTCTGACCCTGTGATGGAGCTGGGAAGGCTCGGTGCCATTTGGCCACGTGAGCAATCTCCTTAGTCCTAGTAGTTGTATATCTTCTCAACATCTTTTTTCTTCCTTAAAGTTCCCAAACCTGCTCCCATGATACCTCTGCATGGCAATTGTCACAACTTACAACATCCCAGTTTAACATTTGCACTTAGCAGATGGGACTTCTCTTCTCCCCGTGATGACCTACACGTTACAGCAAATTTGGGCAAGAGGAGAAAGTCCAGGGGTGTGGTTCAGAGCCCAGATGTGAGTCAAGTCCTGGCTCGGCCACCGTCAGCCACGTGAGGCACTGCTTTCCCACCTGTACGATGGGAGGACAGCCTGGCCCGCCCCAGGGCTGGTGCTGCTCACGGGGAGAGTCGCTGCTTCAGCAGCCTCCCGGCCACCGTAGGAACCAGGCACGGCGTGTGGCGCGCACCCCCCTCCCCGCCCACCCCCGGCCCTGGTTCTGGAGCCGGGGTGGAGGAGGGCATTGGCCTGGCCTGGGGAGCGTGCAGAGGGCCGCTCTCATTTCTCCAGGAAGTGGCGAGGGTCCCAGGCACCTTCTCCATGGAGAGAGGCCGTAGGGTTTCTGAGCTGGCCTGGCTGCCGGCCTCCACTTGCCTGTCTCCCTTGACCCGCAGGTGCACGTGGGGGGCAGCCTGGCCGTCCTTGGAGGGAAGCTCTACGTCTCAGGTGGTTACGACAATACGTTTGAACTCTCTGACGTGGTGGAGGCCTATGACCCAGAGACTCGGGCATGGAGCATAGTGGGACGGCTCCCGGAGCCCACCTTCTGGCACGGCAGCGTCAGCATCTTTCGCCAGTTCATGCCCCAGATGCCCTCTGGTGGGCGCGGCTTCGAGCTGGACAGTGGCAGCAGTGACATGGATGTGGCCCGACCCCGGCGGCCGCAGAACCCTGACGAGCTGCACTAGCCCTGGCCTGGCCCGGGGAGGGCCTTGGTGCAGGTAACACAGCATGTCTGGGGGCGGGGCAGTGAGCCCCTCCTTCGTGCACAAGGACGGGTTGGGTTCACCAGGTGGAGTTGGGCTCTTGGGTCGCCGAGTGAGCCTCAGGATGTGACCCCAGGAGAGCCTCTGTGCATTTAGAGTCGGACTCACAGCTGCTGGGAGCTGCCTCCCTGCCGGCACAGGGCTCTGGCTCTAGCAGGTGAACCCTCATGCTGCCTCTGCCTATGCCTACTTGCTCCCATGTCAGAGAGGACGGCCTCTGGTCGGGGACAAGTCCTCCCACGAGAGTCTGAGAGTGGTCCAGGCCTGCTTTCCTAGGCCCGCGGGCTCTGCTGGCCTGGAGCATCGGGAATCTGGCAGACGATGGCTGCAGTGGGGTCCCCAACTCCACGTCCGGTGCTGGACATCCCAGGGGCCAGCTCCCTGGATGGAGGCGGTCTGCCTGCCTGGCTCCTCACACCTGCTGGGATGTCCCACCAAAACGTGCCTCACAGGCGCAGGGCAGTGTGACTGGACGGGAGTGTGGCCTTGAAGTGGGCCCCAAGGGACGTGCTGAGTAAATCCTGTCTCCAGTGAATCTGGGTTGAGCCAAATGCTGAGTGCTCCATCCGCCTACCCCACCAGCTGGTGTTGCCACCTGACTTGGAGGCCTCCAGGACCGTCGTCCCAGGTGGATGCACGAGAGGGCAAAAGCCTGCAGGTGCAAGGTCGTGGCTCCTCCCTGGGAGGCCCTAGGAGTTTCTCATTGAAGCCCAGCCAGGCCGATGGTTGCGGATGCCCTTCTCTCCCCTAGGGACAAAGAATCCTGCTGCTTCCAAAGGAAGCCCTGGACGGGGTGGCCCCCGTGATTGGCTGCAAGGTAAATGCAGTCTGGCCCTTCCTTAGAAGAAGGGTAGGGTGGCCAGGGACGCAGCCAGAAAAGAGTCTCTTACGGTGCCATTGCTGAAGGTCTCTGCAGGGCAGGGGGACAGCCACGCTCCTCCCAAGCCTGGGGCATCCCCGGGAGGATGGCGTGAGGAGTTCCCAGGAAACTGCGGCTCAGGGGTCCCCGGTTCCCTGTTTTCTCTGGGGAGTGAATGGTCTGGTCTCTTCAAGGTCCCCAAGGATCCCTTGGCTGGATGTGTCTTTCTTCCAAAGAGGAGGATGCTTGCATTTCCCTCACTAGAAAGCTGGAAAGCAAATGTTTGTTGAGTTGCCTTTCTCAGTGAACCGCCTTGGAGATGTGTTCTTAGCAGGAGAAGAAAAGTTCTAGCTGTCGCTTCACAAACAACACTTTTTTAAACACTTTCTTTGGCCAGATGGCAAGGGTTGTTCTGGGGGAGGAAGTCTTGCGTCCTAAAGAGCTGTTGGCTGGGGCCCCCACCTTCTCTGCCATATGCCGTCACTGTCTGGTTAGACCTGTTGCAGGAGCGGCTCCGGTCCACAGCCAGCCCTTCCCATCCCCTCAACTGTCACTCACCGGGTCACTCCCGCACACCCACTGCGCCAGGCGCTGCCAGACAGCCGGCCGGGCAGTGGTCCTGCCTGGGGCTCCCCCGCCAGGCGGGCCTGGCCGTGGGATCCCTTGGGCCCCGGGGGACTCCTTCATGCCCCAGGTCCCACCTTCGCCCCTCCTGGCGTGCGTGTTTCCCCTCGGTCGGGACTTGCTGCCTCTGTCCCTCAGCGATGGTCTGACTTCACCTCCTCGGGGCTGGTGCTGCCTCCTCCTGGCTCTGGTGCCTTCCCAGCAGGCTCACTCCGCAGGGGTTTTCCATGCCCTTTGGTCTCTGTAGGTAGAGGGTGTCCTGCCACAGTGGCTTGTCTCCTGTCAGTGGCAGCGGGGAGGGCAGGGCAGCGCTGCACAGGACCGAGGGAGCCCTGATGTGCACCAGGCACGGAGCTCTGCGCCAGCAGCTGCGGCCTGCCCGCTCGGTGTGGGGACAGGCCACGCAGATAGGTGTCACGATGCCTGCTGACAGGTCACCTGCAGCCACCCCCCCACCCCTCCCCGGAGCAAGAGTGCAGGCCTTGATCTCGTGGGGAAGGCTTTGGCGCCCTTCCTGAGGGCCGCCTCCGTGGAGGGTCCCTTTGGCAGCCGGAGGAGGTGGGGTGAGGAGGTGCCAAGGCTGCTGGAGCTCTCCCCACCTCCCTCCAGTGGGGCTGGGCTCTGTCAGGGTCAAGGACTTCCCGTGGTCAGCGACTTCCAGGGAGAGGTATCGTGTAACGCTTTTTTGTCGGGACGGGGCGCTGCAAACACGTTTTTCTGACAAAACCAGCCTCTGTGGACCGTACAGCAGGCCTGGTCCGGGCTGAGGGCTAGCGACCGCTCTGGCCTTCACCTGGCCTTCCCTACAGACGCTCCCTTGTGGCAGGGGGCCCCGTGTCCTGGGTTCCTGCCCTTGGTTCTTCACTGTGACCAGCTGGCACACCACTGGCAGCTGTTGGTTGGCTGGTTCAGTGTGCACCCGTGACGTCCTCCTCCACGCTCGCTCTCTAGAACTACGCGGGTCTCCTCCACCCGGACCCCATCCTCTGTCGGGAGCACCAGGGCGGGGAAGGGGAAGCAGCAGCCTCAGCAGCAGCGGGTTCCTGCAGACCGCAGCCGGGGGTCCACGGTCAGGGACGGCCCTTCGGCAGCACCTGCTCCCCTGCCCAGCCCTCCCCGCTTCCCCCGGCGGGGGCTCTCGCCCGGGGACAACCCCCCCCCCGACCCCACCTTAGGAATGTCTATACACTGACCAGGGTCAGAGATGGGCCAGCTGGAGGTGGGACTGTGTTTGGATATACGGAACTTTTTAGTCTACGAGACAGTTTAAGTTATGAAAATTCAGTGACTCATATTTAATGCTGATTTGCTATAAAGTATTCTATATTTATATGACTTCAGAGACTCTTATGTGCTAAAGGACACGCCCCTTTCAGTGTCCCAGCTATCTAGTTCCAACCCCAGACGGTGGGGCAGATTTGCCTATTTATTTGTCCTATGGGCCTAGGTGTCCAGAATCCTGTTGAGATTTTAGGATGCCTTTGATGTATACTTTTTGAAATAAAACTATTTGCTATACACTCGGTGTCCTGGTCTTCATCCTGCCGCTGCTGTCTTGGAGACTTCAGGCAGAGGCGAGGCGGGGCAGCGGAGGGCTGCCCCCGTGCCCACAGAGGAAGAGGACAGACGGGGGTGCCCAGGGCTTGTGCAAACGGTCTTGGAGCAAAGCTTCTGAGGCCCTTTCTTGTCTCCGATCGTTACAAGGTGGCAAGTAGTGGGAAGCGGAGGCTGAGCCCAGGGCATGAGGAGCGCGGGAGTCCTAGCCCCACGTGCTGCCCCACGGCCAGTTTGGCCTCCCTGCCTCTACCCCTTCACCCCGTCCCCTGCCTCGCTCCCCCCACCTCCTGAAGGTGGGCTCTCCGGTGGTGAGGAGACCCCTGTCTGCAGGGGGTAAGCCTCGGACCTGGGGCGGGGAGTGGGCCCTTAAAGGAGGATCCTGGAAGAGGCCACGAAGTTCAGAAAGGTTCCTCGTGTATAACCCAAGGCATGGGCCGGTTTCTTTGTGGGGAACGGAGCATTTTGAGGCCATAGTTTATTTTTTAATAACCTCACTGAAATAGAGCTGAGGCAGTTCGTAGTCTGGGTATCGGCTGTTGTGCCTGAATATGGGCCTTACCTCTGAGCACCCCAGTGGTCAAGGAATACAAGGAAAGACGGTTAGATGGGTTCTGGATGTAAAACAGATCGTTTCCTTCCTCAGACTCCAGGAGGAATTGGGCAGTGTGGAGCTAGTGTTTCAGGAGTCTTCCAGTGATAAGATTTAGGTGGTGCCCGACTTGAGCACTTGCTCGTGACTGTCACTGCCCCAATTCAGAGTTCGCTCTGTGCCGGGCACTAAGCAGAGCACCTCTGCTGTGTGTCAGACAGTTGTAGAATGTGTGTGCAGAGCTGGACACCCATCAGCGGGTGGGGCCTATATCCCCTGCCCTTGAACCTGGGCAGTGAGGTTCCGGTGTCTGCCTGGACCAGCACCACGTGGCAAAGGGGACACTGTGACTGGAGGGCTAGGTCATAAGGCCTCACAGCTCTGGCTGGAACATGGGTCCTTGGCACACAGCCACCGTGCTGTGAGGAAGCCCGGGCGGCCCGTGGAGAGGGACCCAGGCCCACAGCCAGCACCGCCTTCCCAGGCACAGACACCCTCCCTCCCCCCAACCGCGCCCTCGCCAGCCTCCAGGGAAATCCTGGGGCGGCTTGCCATCTGGCGGGAGGTAACTGCGGGCCCTCTCATTGAATCCTTGTCTACAAAGCGGGTGCTATTACTAATTCCGTTGAGGAGGACACGAAGGAGTCGCCTGCCTCGGGCAACAGGGCTGTCAGTGAAGAAGCTGAGGGGGAACGTGGGCGCCGGCACCCACACGCTTTTCCTGCAGGATGCGCACCCAGCCCTGCCGTCCCTGCAGAACCCGGGGACCAGCAAGGCCTCTTGTCATTCTAAACTTGGCCTTGCCGGCACTCCAGGCCACCTGCACCGGCAAAGCAAATGAGGACCCTCCCGAGGGAAGGATCCTGTAGGCCGTCATCTGCCAGCCAGGGTCCAGAGCCTGCTGACCACGAGCCCTACCTCAGGCTCCCCGCTGGGATCCGCAGCAGGCTGGCGGGGTAAGGTCATCGTCGGAGGCCCTGAATCCCATCCCCACTAGCTGGCAGCACCACAGCTGTGAAACAGCAATGCCATGGCTCCCAGTCCTAGAACCCTGACAGTGAGACAAGAGCACCCGGGCCAGGGCCTGGCCCCTAAAGACACCCGCCCAGAGTCTGCCTCTGCTGAGGTCTCCCAACAAGGTGGGGAAGCAGCTGGCCGAGCAGCACCCTGAGGCGCAGAGATGGCTGGGTGAGGCACCGTTTCTCCTAGAAGATTCAACGGGAAAGCAGCACACCCCGGACACCAGGTTACTGGGGAACAGACCACCAGATAGGCTGAAACGATGGAGTCCCAAACCGTGTGATTTATTGGGGGCTGGGGCCAAGTGGGCTGTGGTGGCAGGGGTGCTACGTGTCACAGTCCTCAGGGATGGCTGCCGTGATGATGAGCGAGGGCTCCATGACCCCCGAGCTCACCAGGCTCTCCTCCGCACAGAGTCTCTGGCTGGGCAGCTGGGAGGTCAGGCCGCCCTGCGCCAGGGATGCCACGATGACCTCGGCCGAGCCCACCTCCAGCTCGGCGGGTGGCTGAAGTGCCACCACCACCATCTTCTCATCCTCAATGACCAGGTTCCGGAGTTTGCGCTGCCGCGGGTTATAGTTCTCCACCCGGTCGTGGATCTCCATGTGCCTCCGGAGGTGGGCCTGGGGGGCGAGGGGACTCAGGGCTGGGCAGGGAGGGGCCCGGGGTGGGGGGCAGGAGGAGGGACCCCGGCCGGCCCCAGGCCTACCTGCCGGGTGAACTTGTAGCCGCACTCGGTGCATTCGAACTTCCTGACGCCCTTGTGCCTTCGGACATGCACGCGCAGCTGCTCCACGGCTGTGGGAGGGAGGGGACCCCGGTGTTGAGGGGAGGCAGGAAGTGGGCACCACGGTGCCCAGGTGAGGGCGGTCCGGGGTCTGCAGCTGCTCCGAGGGCCCTGCCAGGCTCCAATGCCACCCTGAGGGTGCCACTGCACGAGACCCTCCAGGGCTCCCGCCCTGCCCTGTCACCGCAGCTCCAAGCTCCAGTCTTTAACGCACAGGGAGAAGAGATTCTCTGGTAGGAAGACTGGCGCCAAGAAGGAGCGCGCGACAGCCACCGCCACGCCTGACCTCTCCCCGTGGACGCTCTCTGGCCCCGGTCAGCGGGATATGGCCCACCCTCCACCCCACGCAGGGCGTGCCTGGGGAAGGGTGAGCGCCAGGGGCCTCCCGCAGGCCCAGGTACCTTTGAAGGTCTTCCCACAGATCTGGCAGAAGTGGGGCCGGCCTTCCTGGTGGCGGCTGGCCACGTGCCTCAGCAGGGGCCCCTTCTCGGTGAAGCGCTGCTCGCAGAACTCACAGCCGAAGGGCCTCTCCCCAGTGTGAGTACGGTTGTGCTTGTCCAGGCTGGCTGTGGGGACAAGGCGGGGGCTCAGCCGCTGCGCCGCGGCCTGGGACGGGGAGAGGACAGGCCTGCCTCACCTTGGGTGCGGAAGGTCTTGCCGCAGAGGTGGCACTGGAAGGGCTTCTCGCCCGTGTGCGTACGCAGGTGCATGTTGAGATTAGCTTTCTGGGTGAAGGCGTGGCTGCAGAACTCACACACGTACGGCCTCTCATTCCTGTCCGGGGCAGGGGGCGGGGCAGGAGCATCACCACGGGAAGCAGCCCCCTTCACCCCGCG